TATATTTTTTTTATATTAAAGTTTTATTAAATTAATTTATTCATTGTTATCAATGGTTTCTTAACCATTCTGTTAAATTGTCGAATATAATCACGGATAAGATATAAAGTAGATATATCAATCAATGCATTTTTTGGTTTACAATTTAATTCTTAAATCTTATTATCATTTCAGTCTTATTTTCAATATCGATTTATATAAAATTAAAAAGAAGTAATGAGTAAAGATTTTCAAATATCATTAGAAAAAGAATAAAATGTAAATAAATAAATAAGATAATATTAATTATAACAAAGTATACATTTTTTATTTGCAAATTTCAGTTTATATTTATATTATATCTATAATTATATAATTATATTTGAAATAAAATATAATAATATGATATTTAATTAATATCTAATTTAATAGAATTTTATATCTTATGTATTCAAATATCAATTGCGCAAAAAAATCATATTAATACATCTTCTATGATTTAAAATTCGTTATTTTCATATTTTTTATTATAACATAATGAAAATAATATCAATTTATAAAATTTTTATTATAAAGATGAATTTAAATATAATAGTATTAAAGTTAAATTTATTTATACATATTGCTATTGTATCAATGATACATCAATGAGTAAAGATCTCTGATATATGATGCAAGTGTAATTTTTAATATGAATAGATTAAACATTAGAATAAATTCTAAAAAAATAATATACAATATTATAATAATAAATATAAACATATATGGTAGATCTAAAATTTTTTTTTTAATAAAATTATCACTTATTTTTAATTTCAAAATTGATCTTTTTTTTTTTTAATAAAATCGAATATTTTATTATCGAATATAATTTTTAATGCATATTGAAAGTAACGATTATATTTTTATTTTTGTTATATAAAATGTTTCATTTTATTTACATGTAGCAATAAAAATTTCCGAATCATAATAATAAAATAAGTTGCGTGCAAATTTTTTATTAAAAGAAAATAATTAGAATTAAAATTTTTTTGAATTATGTATTAGAAATTCTTTTTAAAAATTTTAGTTGTTTTTAAAATTAAAAATAAATATCTAAATAAAAATTATATATAACATATAAGATAATTCATAACAGATGAATTAACATGTCTATACCTAATCTGTCACTTTAATATTCTATATTATAGAGAAAATATAAAAATCTCTGTTTTGACTTTTTTTAACTAGTGATTTTTGATATTTCGTACAATGCAAAATTGTTTTTGATATGCAGAGGAAGAAATACGATATCTGTGGAATATATACTGAAGAAAAAAATAAATGAAAAATTAAAGAATGTAAAAACAATTTTTATTGCAAAATTAATTGATTCATATTAAAACAAATAAGAGTATTAATTTAGAAAAAATCTTTTCTTTTTAAATATTTTTGTTTCAATTTTTCCAAATATTAAGATATTTTTGTAAAATCGAATTTAAAATTCTGCAATAGAATGTAAAGCAAATGCAAATAAAAAATTATTATACATTCATATATATATATTTAAATTAAAAATTCTTAATAATTCTCATAATAAAAATATTATATATTTATAATTTTTTTGTTATTTTTAAAATGCAAAATAATCGAATATTTTTGAAAAATTATAACAATTAAATTCTTCATTGTTTATAACAAATTTTCTATCTTTTTAATTAAGATAAGTATTGAGTTGTTTTCTGAATTCTATTTTTTATTATATTATTCATATTGAATATTTAAACAATAAAGATATATTGTTTATTGTTTAATAAAGATATATTTTTTATTGTTTAATTTGATTTGCATTTGATACGTGCATAATTTCAAATTCTATTTATTTATATCAAGTTATCAAATCAATGAGTAAATATATAAAAATATAAAATCAAATTCACATGAAGTATAAAGATGGATATTCATTTGTTCATATATCATATTAACATTACAGCAAAATAGATGAATAAGCTATTATTATTATTAGTCATTTATTAATTTTTATAATAATAATATTAATAATAATATAATATATAATTGAATTTGTTGAACAAAAAGTTTCATGTTTTATTATTCAGATTTATTTCTATTATATGTTTTAATGTACATATACAATAATAAAAATAATATTAATCATATAATAGAATAATAAAAAATCCATTTTAAATAAATAGAAATTCACTTTAAAACATAAGTATTAGCCATATTTATCAAACAGCGCACCTAGTGGCTATATAAAGTATTACAAATTTCAAATTTTTCGATGTTTAAATTGTAACGACTTATGTTCTATTGTTTTCAAAAAAGTGAATAATGCTTGCAACATAATTTATAGAAGTTTTGATTGTTATAAAAATCAGTATAATCTCTAAATAGTAATTTTAATAATAATAATAATAATAG